GGCTTGCAAGCTGCAGCCGCACAGCCGCCACTGTGACTACAAGAGTCTGCTTGATTGCTGAATGTTTACGCCTCACTTGGTCGGACGAGAGCGGTCTGGTCATAAATGGCTCTTACGGAACGATTCCGAACAAATGATGTGTGTTGACGCGATCCCGCACACATAATGTGATTCCAGACTGCTTGGGATATCCAGATCCTGAGCGATGTATCCTAACAAAGGGCTGCCGCCTGCTGCCCAAGCGCCTATGATAATTATGATAATGGAGATTCTCTATGCCCAACGATCTGTTCCAGAGCATACAGCGTATGACAGCAGGAGGCTGTACGGTTTCTCGCATTACCCCTTTCATGCTGAGAAGTTAGCCGCGCAATTGCAATACAGTCAATGCGGCGATATAGAAGAAAGCGGTCGAAGAAACCCAGGCCCGACCCTCTGACGAAATCTTAAACAATTGTGGCATGGCCTTGTCGGTCCCCCCCCCCTCCCTGCGCAAGCGGAGGAAGTAGAAATGGGGCCAGGTTCGCAAGAGTTGTCGATGGAACGATGGGCCGCATCGATGAGCATAGATCCCTTCACTACAGGCGCAAATACAGTCGGCAGGGGCGGCACTAAAACGCAAGAGCTGTGTACTTGTGCGCGCGCCACTACAGAGAACACAAACACACACAAGCGACATGTGGTATGCGCAGATCCCTCAGATCCGATTCATGTTTCCCACAAACTTACACATTCCAAGTTCGTCACTGCCGACGCTCCCTGTGCAGCATCACGCGCAGACACCGAGCATGCTGTCATTTCATGTAGTAGCATGCGCATGCGCAACATCGCAGGACACAAACTATGACATATATCCGCCACCGTGCCTCTGGGCACGAAGTGGGCGTATCCTCAGGTTCTTTGCCAAATCGCCTAAGCCTGAGAGCTTCAATCCTCAGCCCTGAAAGTCGAAGAGGGACCGGAGCCAAAATTGCCGAGTTTGACTGGGCTTGCCGCGGTTTCCGTGGGGTTCCCGGCGTGGCGCGTGACATGTTCGGGCCCAGGAGGGCCCCAAGACGAGCCAAGAAGACTCCGAGGCCGCCAAGACAGTCCAAGAGGGCCCCGAGATGCCCAATGATCGCTCCAAGACGCTCAAGATGGGCCCCAGACGGCTCAAAGAGGCCGCCAAGACGCCCCAAGAGGCTTCGAATATGCCTCCCAAGAGGCTCCTTGGGTTTGGGAGGATTTGGGCGTTCTCGCCTTTTCGACTTTCCAACGCTCCTAGACGGCCCAACGAGCCCCCAAGATCACCCCAAGACGGCCCAAGAAGTCTCCGAGAAGGCCCCAACACGGCCTAAGGGCTACCCAAGAAGACCCAACGGGCCCCCAAGACGGCCCAAGAGGGCCCCAGAGAGGGAACACGAACCGAAAATCCAAGCCTTCCGCCCAAAGAGGCCCCGAGGAGGCCCCAAGAGGCGCTACGGAGGCCCCACGAGGCCCCCAAGATGCCCCCAAGATACCCCAAGAGGCCCACAAGAGATTCCAAAAGACCCCCAAAAGGCCCCAAACAGGCCTCAAAACTGCCTTCAAGAGGCCCCCGAGAGGCCATCCAATAGGCAAGATACCCACAACCTAGGTACGGTGGCGGGGTGGACCGAAGGCCACAGTGTGTGTGTGTATTTATATATATGTATATATATATATATCTATATATATATATATAGAGACGTCGGCGTAGACCTTAACTGTGTGTTGGTGTTCTCTCGATGTGCGCTCTGCGTGGTGCGATCTATGGAATGTGATGAGAAAGAGGAAAGCTGAGGGGACGAGCGGCAACCAAGCGACGAGCCGCCACTCGAGCGTAAACGCATGCAACGAACTGGCAGAAGACTAGGCGCGCCAGGGTCAACTATGGAAGAGTCCACGACCCGAGAATCCGGACCATGACGGGCCGTCGGAACGCGAAGTGCAGTGACAACAGAACCCAATGCTCTCTGTCAGGAGCCACTGGCTGAAGTGAGAAAAACCACGGGGAGGACGGGCGGACAGGGAAGAGACGGAGAAAGCAGAAGCAGAGAAGAGACGATGGGGGGAGAGACCCAAGACCCTCACAAGGGTGAGGACTACGCAACATGCTGCCAGATCGTGGCACTAGAGCGTCGTCCCAGCAGTGTGGAGCTGTCAAACCAAAATTCCCTGGAAAACACTCGGGAAAGAAGTGTTTTTCGACCCTGGAGCCTGTCTCGGGGATAAGCTTGAAACCCTACTGATGCGCCTCGGAGGCTCCCTGAGCCCGCATCGGAGCAGTGATAGGCGTGTTCGGGCAGTCTGGGGGCGCTGAGAGCGTCGTTCAGGGTCCTTGAGGCGTGTCCGAGCTCATGTGGAGGTAGCTGCACCCCAGGACAACAAACATAGAACGGCCTTCGGCCACACGTAATGACGAGAACTGCCGCGAGGCAGGCAGACGGCGACCCGACAGCTGCCGAAGCGCAGAACGTGGTGTCGCAGAACGGGCTGCGAGACTCCGCCAGGTGCGACTCTGCGCCACGCAGTCGCTTGCGCGCGTGGGCGCCTCGGCGCCTGGGCACCTTGGGTACCGGAAGGCGTGCATCGTCGGGTTGGACGCCGCCAGACAGCATTGGAACGCGGGTCGACGCTCGCGCGCGTGACCCTGGAGGCCCGGGCCCAGAGCGTAGACCGAGTGCGCACCGCTCTGGCAGCGCGCCCTGCCTGCGCCTGGATGCCCCGGATTGCCCTCTCGAGTTGCGCGTCTTCCTGCGGGCGCGACTCTCGGTGGGCGTGCAGCCTCCCAGGGCACGTCACGCTGGACCTCGCGATGTCCGCGTGTGCTGTGGTCTCGCGGCTGTGCCTCCAGCGGGTGCTCGCCGCTTGCATCAAGACCCTGCGGAACGGCTGGGCCACGAGCCGCCGGTTCGAGAGGTGCGCAAACTGCTTCTTTGGACGCGCGGCGGGCGAGGACTCCATCGGACTCTGCGCAGAATGCCCGCACGTATCTGCAGCAACATACCGCGAGCCGGGGCCTGAGCATCCAGACACGCCAGAGGCGCGACTGGCCAATTTCACGTTGATGGCCCCGCCGTGCTCCGAAGCGACCGCGCCAGAGCTCCGCCGCCGAGGGTTGGATACGTACGTGCGGGGTGTGTTCGGCGCACTGCTGTTCCCGTCACGCAGCCTCCGACGGGGCGCTCGCGTGTCACAGCGCGCTCAGGCTCAAGCTCCAGGAGCTGGCTGGGGGGTCGCAGTCTTTCATTCCTCTCTCTCCCCCTCCCTTTCCTTCTCGGGATCCATCTGTGGCTCGCTGGGCGTGCAAGCAGCGGGCACTGCGGGTGCCGCCACCTCCCACCCCTCTTCCCCTTTTCCTCCCGCGCTCGTCTCCCGGAAGCGGAGCTCCGGCTAGCCCTGCGGGTCGGGCCGGATCTTCCCCCCCTCTGTCCGTCTCCTCCTCGCTCCCCCTCGGGCCACTTGAAGGCGCTCTTTGCCTATCTTGGCACTCTCTGGAGCCGTTCCCGAACCCTGGAGGAGGCCTCTTGAGCTGTCTTCGGACGACCTTGCAGGCATCTGGCGCCGTCTTCGAGCCATCTGAAGGCATCTTGGACTCCTCTACCTCCATCGTCTTCGTCGTCGCTGCCCACGGGGTCGGCGGCATCGGCCGTAAGGCCTTCGCAAGAAGCATGGCGGCAGGGGGCGGACCCACCGGCGATCGAAAGGTCGACGCTGCCGGCCAAGACGGCATGCGGTCGGGTCCCGCCGCTCGGCAAGGTGCGGCCGCCCTGCGTCCTTCCCTCCCCCTCCTCCTCTGCCTACTTCCTCCCTCCTCCTCGTTGCCACTTCCTACTTCCTCTACCTACTTCCTCCACTGCCTACTTCCTCCTCTACGTACTTCCTCTACCTACTTCCTCCTCCTACTCCCTCCTCCCTCTACCTACTTCCTCCTCTACCTACTTCCTCCCTACTTCCTCCCTACTTCCTCCCTACTTCCTCACTCCTCGTCAAAATCGCGGTGCCACGTTGCAACCAAGCCGGCAGGGCGCTTGGCTGTCCGCTGTCTGTCTCAAAATCACCGGTTGAGCTTTAGCTGGAGTTTCCTTGGAGGCATGGTGTCACGAGGGTCAGCGAAGGCGTGGTGACGAAAGCGCCAACGACAGTGAGAGTGGCTTCGGAGGAACAGCAGGTAGCAACATAGTCGAATGTAGGAGGAGGAGGCGTAATCTGAAAACGAGGAAACGAACAAGAGCAAGCCATTCGGGATTACGAAGAGAGGCAAGAACATAAGTTTGAGCCGGAAACGATTACCGAAAGGATGCGAGAGACAGCTCGTTCACCAAAAGGGGGTCGAGGAGAGGAGGCAGACGAAGGAGAGGAAAAGGAAGCGAACGCGAATGAGGACGAAGAAAAAAACGATAACCAACATTAGGACGGCGACGGCAAGAAGCAGCACCGTGAGCAGCAACAGCAGCATTAGCATCGCAACCAGGAACACGAGAAAGAAGGTACAATTCGTGGCTACAATCAAAAAGCAACAGCATGAACATAAACTGTCGACGGTCCGTGCGGATTTCTTGGATCTGCGCTGGACTCCCCTCCCTGGCGCGCGGAGCGCGCCAGGGGCGGCGCAGGAGGCGCCACCAGGGGGCCCAGCGCGGATCCAAGAAATCCGCGCGGAGCGCCACAAGTTTATGCTTATGGTGTGTGCGTCTCCTTCTCCTGGTGGCTCGAGTTGGAGAAAAGCAGGCCAGGAACAGTGACCCGCATCCGCCCGCACCCATATCAGTTCTGCTGTCCTAGAACAGGGCGCTTCCAGCGGCTCGGGCCACGCGGGGCCCACACCTCGCGACAACTGACCGGGACCGGATGTTCAGCCTGAGAATCGTTGCTTGAGGGTGCGGGGAACAGAACACGGCCTCTGGAGGCAGACAGATACGGAAACATAACTCCGATCGAGTCTCGAAGCGACGGAGAAAAGGAAGCGTCCCCTTCCCCAGTTGAAACGGCGCACTGCC